ATATAATTTTCTTTAATTTTTAAAAAGAAAAAAAATTACTATTAGTTTTATATGTAATTTGCAAAAGGTATCCTCTACCCTTAATTTTAATTTAATTTATTAAAATTGAAAATTTATTGGTTCTTAAATATTTTAGAATCTAGTAATTAGAATTAAATAAACTCTTTTTTATTAGATGTGCTTCACTGAGAGCTTTTATTTAAAAAAAAATTCATCCAGATTGGACTGCTAGTTGTCAAGATAATTACAAAAAACCACTTTTTATATATTTTGATCCCAAAGTAGGTTATATTGAACCCGAAGTAGGTTCAATTATAGTTTATTTAAGTTTATGCGAGAAGTTATTAAGTAAAGATATCTTCAAGCTCTAAGTAAAGTTGTAGAGGGGATAATTCTGAGTCAAGTGATAGTTAGATTATCAAAATCGGGCCAGTAGTTATTGAGATATGTGAGATTAAAGATCTAAACATAAAGGTTAACAAAATCAATGCTTTGTGTAATAGTAACTTTGCCAATCCTTATGTTTGCGCCTTGATATCTCAAGAACCACTAGGCCGATTTTGATGATCTAACCACCATTTGACTCAGAATTATCTCCTCTACAACTTTATTTAAGCCTTGAAGATATCTTTACTTAATAATTTCTTGTATAAATTTAAAGAATTTATTGACAAATCAAAATAACAGATTTAATGTTACACAATTTAATAGAATTATTTATATTAGTAGTCTAAACGTTATCATTACACACAAATATTTTTAGTATATAGTTATAGATTTTTATTAAATATATTTTTTTTAAACTTATTTTACACTTTTAATTTATCAAATTAGTGGAATTTGGTTTTTTATTTAAGTTTTTTTAATTTAAAAATGTTTTTACATTTTAATAAGTAAAAAGTTTAATAAGCTATCTTAAGATTTAACTATCAATTAATATTAAATTATTGAATTAATATAAATAAAATAAAGAGTACTATTTAATAGGTTCAAAGTTAATTTGTTTGTAATTATAAATAGTCAAATAAGCGAATTCACAAACAAAATGATAATAGCACAAATATTAACTATAAATAATATTTTATCTATACTTGCTTATGAATTATTACAATACAGTCAGAGAATATACTATAAATAGATAGTGCAGATCACACCTTATATAGGCATAAATTATTGCTCAATTGATTCTGAAAATTTCCAAAACATGATTATTAACCAATCAAATTGAAGATTTGTTATCAAGTAAAAAATTTTTACTTCGTTTTTAAAATTAATTTTAATTTAATTATTATAATACTATAATACTATATTGTTGTATTGAGAATATAACTATATACAATTTTATTTACTTCATTTTTTTTAAAATAAAATTTATTTTTTATTTATTAATCATGCTGTGTCACAAATATACAAATACTTACAATATATCCTAAATCTATCTAACTCTTGTCCTGAATCTACCAACTCTAAATCTACCTATTATTCTTACATTCATTCTGAATCTATCTAACTATTGTGCTATACTTATTGTGCTAAGTTTGTTCACTAACATGCCACATTTGTCCTAATTATTATGTTACATATATACTTGCTATCTTTATCTATCCCAACTATTTGTTTTTAATATTATACTACGTTTAATCTTAACTATTGCTAAGTTCAAACTATTATATTATTTCATTTCATTTATTGCACTATGTTTGTCCAACTATACTCATTCTAACTATTATATTTGTATATTATATTTACTTTATCTAAAGCTACTTTAAATATTTTGAGTTCTCTTCCGCAAGCCATATTGATACCTATACAAAATTTAAATTAAAATATAAAAGTTGTTGTATTTAAATCTTTGTTTAATACAAATACAAAATAGTACAAAAAAAATATATTTTAAGTTGACTAATAATAATTTTTAATCTCTAATATGAAATAAATACCTTTTTTTTAGCTTCTTATTTACTTTTGCAAAAAAAGTTTGCTGTTGTTAATTAATTTTGATTATTGAAACTAGATGTCTTGAAGTATATGTTCGAAGCTTACTAGAACTTAATAACTATTAAAATTTTTTTTTCAAATTTTACGATGTTTGAGGAGAAAAGAAAACGTAAGAGCCAATCAAATTCAGAAATCTGTTTGTAGATTATTCTAGAACATGATTTCTTAATTTGGTAAATCTCCTGACTGCAATATAAGCACAAAATAAGCACAAAATAATGCTCACTTACATGCTAATTAATTAATTTGCACATTATTTTGAATGTACCCATGTGCGTTACTTTTGTACTTCAAAATAAAAAAAGATTTCTAAATTCAATACAGTTAACCTTCAATAAATATATATAATATGAAAGCATTAATTGAGAATAATATTATATAGTTATTAGATATAATGTATTCAATAACTAGAGCTATTTGGCAGTTACAGTTAGTACAATTATATCATAATCTGCATAATCATGAATTATTGTCACACTGACAAATAATAAAAAGTATCTGGGCCAGAATTTGATCAGTTGATGGCTGAGCCCCACAGGGACCCAGCTATCGACTGATTAAATTCTAGCCTAGATACGATAGTTATTAGTATATAGTATCCAATAACAGTATTATCTGTTAGATTATGATGATTAGGCATAAAGTAAAGTAAATAAAAATAGTAAGCTATTAATAAATTTTATATATTTAATTTAATTTAATTCAATTTTTGTATTTACTATAATGAAAGAAAATTTATATAAAATTAGACCATATGAACAAGTGATAGTTAAGTACCACTATAATATATTTAAATTTTTTTTTAATTAATCAAAAATCTTAATTTAAAATTAAATTATAACGACAAAAGTTTAATTAAAAGTAAAATAATATAGTTTGTTTGTTAATAAATACTTAAATTGATTTAGAATTAATTACACTTTCTCTTCTTCTGATCGCTTAGTAACAAATATAAATACAAATCTACTAGTGCTGAGATTGATGAAATAATCAATAGTACAATTCCAGAGAACACTTAGAAAGTAACAGCAAAATGAGTAAAGATTTTAGAAAACTGGCAGCATGGTGTAGGATATAACTATAGAATTGAAACAGTAATAGATAAAGACTAGCTTGAGCAAAAGATGACTGAGTTTATTCTGAGAATTTGATAAGTTAACACAAATAAGAAATATGCATTATCTTCTTTGATTAATTGTATTAAATTACTTAGTATTTATATTCTAAAGCATCTGGAAGATATGAAGATTTTAATATATTTAATAGAAAAAATTTTTCCATTTATGAGAAGCACTAAATGAAAAAATGAAAAAACTCAAAAAAGAAGGTTTAGTGTCACATCATTATAATTATCTTACAGATACTGAGTTACAAACTATATTTCAACATTATATAATTGCTAATAACACTTACAATATTGAGTCTTTATGTGGTGCTATTTGTTGTTCCAACCTCATGGTGGCAAATATTATAACATGTTAACAAAACAGTTTGAGTTTACTTCTAATAGTAGAATATAGTTCAAAAAGTACTCTCAAAAAAATGATCAAGGTGGTGTGAATAGTAATTCAGATGCACTTATTATACCTGTTTCAGCTGATTCTAAAGATTTTTAAGACTCTATCTATCTTTTAAAGAGACTATCGAATTCTAACTATCTATTTCTACATTTAAAAATCGACAAAAAAATTAATAGTAAGTAATGATTATAATTGAAAATGCCATAAATATCTCCAATATCCTCTTCAATAGACCCCCACAATCCTAAATCACCAACATATACATTTAGTTCACCGTCCATTAAAATGTTTGCAGAGTGCAAATCTCTATGGACCAAGCATTTTCTATGAATTTCATCTAAACAATAAGATATTCGGGAAATAATATGATATCGTTGATTCCAATTAAGTGTATGATTGGTGGATAAATATTCTCGTAAATTTAACGGCATATAGGGTAAAATCAATATGAAGTCGCCAGTTTTAGGATCTTTAGTTAATCCATAGCAAGGAACAATATATGATATTTCATTATTAATAGTCAAATGGGCCGTGATCTTAAAAATATTGTTTAACAAAATTTTAATGCTTTATTTTAAGCATAAAAAAAAAAATTTAAATTTGAAATTTATTCATACCTCTTTAATCATTTTACTATGCTTTTGATTAGTATCACTTATAATTTTCAAAGCAACGTGCTGCCCACCATTTCTTATTAAAGTTTTCTCTTCAAAATTCCATCCACAGTAGCGGCCATATATCCATTCTGCTCCGTAAATAGTACCAAACCCACCTTTGTTTAGTTTTCGGATTTCTCTGATGTTTTCGTATGGAATCCATTCAATTATGTATTTAAATCCTCTAGTGCGTTTTTGACAACTTTGGATTGCATTATCAATTTCTAGGTCACCGGAAGTCCATTCAGTGAAATTCTGTTGCAAATAATTACGAATGCATTTTACGCAACATTGAATAATCGAATCTCGACAAATTTCGCAATTTCGCAGTAAGTAAATGTCTCTTTTAATGTCGCGTGAACGTGAATTTTCTACTTCTGACGCTTTTATTATGTTTGTAACTGCATTTTTTTTTATTTAAAATGCGATAAATCTCGCCAAGATAGTTTAATGCTAGTGAGTTGTCTGGTTCAATTTCCAGTATTTTATTTAAATCATTAATTGCTTCTGCATTTTTATTTATTTCGCGATATAATTTTGCCCTTGATCCTAATAATTCTATTTTGTCCACGTTGTCAATGCAAATTTCCATAATTTTGGTCAACGATTCAATAACTTCATTGATTTTGTCCAATCCATAAAATTCATAAGTAGAAATTTTTAAATACTCTATTAAAGACACAAGTTTCTTTAAATCTTCATGCATTTTATTATACTCCTTTAATTCGTGATTAATTTTCCCACGTTGCCGCAATACATTTGTATTATTAGGTTCAATTTCTAATATTTTATTTAAATCTGTAATCGCTTCTTCATACTTATCCATCTTGTAGTAGATCCATCCTCGACGTTCTAACGCAATTGTGTTATCCGGTTCAATTTCTAATAAACTTGTAATAGCTGATTCTTCATATCTGCCCATCCTATAATAAATTTCATTTCTAAGCATCAATACATCTTTATAAACCTCTTCTTTATTTTTAAATGTAAATGCATCGTGAACCTCCAATAATTCATCGTCGATCTCCAATAGTTTAGTGAAATCTACAATTGCATCTTCATTTCTGCACATTCTACTAAAAGAACTTCCTCTAAGATACAACGCGGTTGCATTTTCTGAATCAATTTCTAATAAATTTGTGAAGTCTATAACTGATTCTTCATATCTGCCCATCCTATAATAAATTTTACCTCGTTCTATTAGTGCAGATGTATTGGTCTGATCGATTTTCAATAATTTAGTGAAATCTACAATTGCATCTTCATTTCTATGCATTAAAATAAAAGATATTCCTCTAAAATATAACGCGGCTGTGTTCTCTGGTTCAATTTCTAATAAACTTGTAAAGTCTACAATTGATTCTTCATATCTGTCCATCCTACAATAAATTCTACCTCGCTCTATTAGCACAGATGAATTGGTCTGATCGATCTCCAATAATTTAGTGAAATCCACAATTGCATCTTCATTTCTGCACATTATACTAAAAGATATTCCTCTGAAATATAACGCGGCTGTATTCTCTGGTTTAATTTCTAATGATTTAGTTAAATCTATAATTGCTTCTTCATATCTGTTCATGTAAATATAGGTTGCACCTCGCCATATTAGCACAGATGGATTGGCCTGATCGATTTCCAATGATCTAGTAAAATCTACAATTGCATCTTCATTTCTGCTCATTGTAATTAAAGATATTCCTCTAATAAACAATGCGGTTGCGTTCTCTGGCTCAATTTCTAATGATTTAGTTAAATCTATAATTGCCTCTTCATATCTGTTCATTTTAATATAGATCTTTCCTCGCTCTATTAGCACGGATGGATTGGTCTGATCTATCTCCAATAATTTATTGAAATCTACAACCGCTTCTTCACGTCTACTCATCTTAGAATAAGCTATTCCTAGACCTTCTAACACAAATAAATTGTTTGGTTCAATTTCTAACAATCTCGCATAATCTATAATTGCTTTTTGATATTTTCCCATCATTTCATAAGTAAATCCACGACCACACAGCGCAATTGAATTGTTTTGATCAATTTCTAATAATTTCGTAAAGTCTACAACCGTTTCTTCATACCTACCCATCTCAAAATAGACATAACCTCGACTTTGTAATGCAAATAAATTGGTTGGTTCAATTTCTAATAATCTCGTATAATCTATAACTGCTTCTTGATATTTTCCCATCAATTTATAAGCCAATCCACGATCACCCAGTGCAAATGAATTATTTTGATCGACTTCCAATACTTTCGTGAAATCTATAATCGCTTCTGCATATTTATTTATAACACAATAAGCTTTTCCTCGAAAACCTAATGCCAAAATGTCGTCTGGCTCAATTTCTAGTAAACTCGTCATATATGCAATCCATATTTTGCCTGCAAGTTCAGAATCATGATCAATTTTTAATGAATTGAGTAAATCTTTAAATGCTTCAAAATGGTTGCCGCTCTCAAAATATGTTCGTGCTCTATTTGTCAACACGGATGCTTCAACTTGTTCGTCTATGATATCATGACCAATTTTTAATTAATTGTGCCAATCTTTAATTTTTTCAAAAGGGTCGCCGGTCTCAAGATATGTTCGCACCATATGTGTTTGTATGAATACTTCAACTTGTTTGTCTTTGATTGATTTTATAGAATTTAAAAGCAATTTTTCGAACTTGCGTGTCTTAATATGAACATCCTTATACGAAAATTCGGATGTATCAATTCGATTAATCTTTTGCAATCTATTAAAGTCTTCAACAGATTTCTCATATTTATCAATTTTATTGTAAGTTATATCATTTGAATGATTGCATACTTCATTAATCTTCTCTTCGTAAATGGCTGTTAACTCATTTTCGAACACCTGGAGTCTGATAAGTAACAAAAAGATTTCATATTCTTCAAGCGAATCTTCGGTGTAAAATGTTTGAATTAAAAATTTAGATATTTGTTCATATGTTGAAAGTGGTTTTTTCCTACAAAGGTTAATAGCTTCTTTCCAAGTTTTATTTAATTTTTCTTCTATGCTATCTTCTTCACACAAATCAGCAAGTTGTCTTAACAGGTTATTAACCTCGTCATTATTTAACAATTTGTCATAAAATGTGTCTTGTCTTTGTTGTTGTTGATTTTCTAACTCGTCTTTTCATAAATTGAAAATTAAATATACGTATTGTCAGTTTCTGGGTCGATAATATAAATGTATTTTTTTTGAAAGATATTCATGCTTGACATACGAGAAGACAAACCTTGAAAATTTGTTGTGCTAATTTTTATATGGTTCTCAATTGGATATTTAAATTTCTTATGTCCAAAATTTACTTCCACAGATGCATCTGGTGACAACATTCCGACAAAAGGGTACAAATCACCTGTAATATTCCTGAAGGCAATTCCTTAAAAAAAGGGGAAAAGACAGTTATGAAAATTTCAATTTATTTGTTTGGTTCTGCAATGAATATTACCTAAAAATTCCCCATTCTTCGTATAGAATGCTATATCATTTATAAAATTTAAACAACATCCTATGGTATCTCCGATTGTAAACTTAGGCCCATATTGTCTACCAATTCCTGAACAGCAAAAGATCTTTCCGTCGTCCCCATGATAGCCCCATGAATAACCTTCCCACCCTGTAATAAGTGTAATATAAATTTAATAATTTTATATGCATATATATTATATATTATATAATATACAGTATATATAAGTAGTAATATTTAAATTACCGGGTAATTGATTTAGACTAGCTGTTTTTGCACAGAATCCCAATATATCTTTAAAAATTTTATAACGTTTATCAATTAAACTTATTATTTATTTATTTACATAAGCGAGAACAACAGATATCTTTATATTTTACCCATTTTTTCCTTTACTTATAATGTCAACTTCAAAATAAAACAATCCACATTGATGTGGTATCGAATGGTTAGCCCGGATTGCAGCAGCTCCTAAATCGCCTCTTTCAGGACCTATCCATTAAAAAATCATATAAGTTGTAAACACTTGCTATACCTTTTATGAACAAGAGTTAAATGTTTGAACAAAATATCATATGACTAAATTATTGTAACATTTCGGGACTCCATTCACTTACCAGTATCATTAACCCTTAATCCATTCGAATTTACGCATAAAAACGGACTTTTATCTTCAATGTTCCATGAAGTAGGTAAGCTTACATTTTTAAGATAAATCGGAAATTTATAACTTAAAGGAGTTATCTTTGAGCATTAATTAAAGATGGTTTTTTTATTGTTGATAATTCGAATTCTTTCACTAGATTTTTCGCATCACTATATTAAATTAAATGTCAATACAATTGTAAATAATTTTTGAATGCTGATGTAATACTTACTCCGATATAGTTTTCTCAAAATCCTCCAAAATAATTGTATCAGTATGTTCATTTTTCTCGAGGATACTTCTTAAATCAATATTATTTAATGATTCAGCAAAATCTGGAAATGCGTAATTTGGATCAATTTGTGATATTCGAATAAATGAATAAAATCCGCATGTGCTTCTTTAGATTTGCCCATTAATTCGTAGGCAACTCCTCGATTTAATAATCCCTTTATGTTATTTGGCTCAATATTCAATAATTTAGATGAATCTGCAACTGATTCTTCATATTTACCGATAACAAGATAAGCTTTTATTTTATATTCTAGAGCATCTGTGTCATTTGGTTCAATTGCTAATGCTTCAGTTAAATCTGCGATTGACTCATTATATCTATTCACTGCAAAATAACACTTTCCTCGATTCACTAATGTGATTGCATTATTTGGTTCAACTTTGAGTGATTTGGTTAAATCAGCAATTGCATTTTCATATTTTCTTAGCAAGAAATAAATTATTCCTCTTTGACTTAATATAATGTTATTATCTGGACAAGTTTTTAATGCTTCTGTCAAATCTAAAACAGCCTCTTCGTACCTACCCATTTTATAATAAATTCCTCCTCGGTTTATCAATATAAGCTCGTCTGATATTGCACTTTCATTTCTATTCAGGTAGGTATAGATTAATCCTTGGTTACCTAATTTTAACACATTATCTGGATCTATCTCTAGTGATCTGGTGAAATCAGTAAGAGCCTCTTCATATCGACCTATTTCTTTATAAACACACCCTCGGTATATTAATGTAATTTTATCTTTTGGATTAATCTCTAATAATTTCGTAAAATCTCTAATAATTTCGTAAAATCTTCAATCGCTTCTTCATATTTACCGATCTTGCAGTAAAATAACCCTCTGTTTTCAAATGCGAGTGTGTTACTTTGATCAATCTCTAATGATCTTGATAAATCCACAATCGCTTTTTCATATTCTTCCAATCTACCATAAACTACTCCTCGATTCATTAATGCATCTTTATTGTTGGATTCAATTTCCAACGATCTATTTAAATCAGAAATTGCTTCTTCATGCATTTTCAATTCACTATAGGCTCCTCCACGATTTATTAACGCACAATTATTATTTGGTTCAAATTTTAATAACTTAGTTAGATCTGCAATTGCTTCTTCATATCTACCTAATTTGCTAAGAGATATTCCACGGTATCCTAACGCCACATTATTATTCGGATCAACTTCCATTAGTAAGGTAAAATCTGCAACCGCTTCCTCATATTTGTTAATTACATAGTATGCATACCCTCTATTGTTTAACGCCAGTACGTTATTTTGATCGATCTTTAGTGCCTTTGTTGAATCTGCAATAGCTTCTTCATATCTTCCTAATTTGCTAAGAGATATTCCACGGTATCTCAATGCAATATTATTATTTGGATCAACTTCCATTAGTAGAGTAAAATCTGCAACCGCTTTCTCATATTTGTTAATTGCATAGTATGCATACCCTCTATTGTTTAACGCCAGTATGTTATTTTGATCGATCTTTAGTGCCTTTGTTAAATCTGCAATAGCTTCTTCATATCTGTTAATTTTACAATATATAAGCCCTCTATTTTCTAACGCAACTGTGTTATCTTGATTAATTTTTAATGCCTTTGTTAAATCTGCGATCGCTTCTTCATCCCTCCCCAGTATGCAATATAACTCTGCTCGATTTATTAACGAGAATGAATGTTCTGGTTCAATTTCTAATGATTTGTTAAAATCTTCAATAGATTCTTCATATTTGCGCATTCTGCAATAAGCTGCACCTCTATAACCTAACGACATACAAGCATTAACATTACTATCTATACCAATTTCTAATAATTTGGTATAGTTTGTAACCGCTTCATCATAATTGCCCATTCTATAATAAACAGTTCCTAGGTTTATTAATACGGTGGTATTATTCGGATCAATTTCCAATAACTTAATGAGATCTAAAATGGCATCCTCATATCTGGTTACCTTGATATAAGATATCCCTCGATTGTGTAGTGCCTCTTTATTATCTGGTTCAATGTTTAATAATCGATTCGAATCTGCAATCGCCTCATTATACATTTCTGTTTTATAATAAATTTTTGCTCGCTTTCTCAGTACAAATATGTTATTTGGTTCAATTTCCAATGATCTGGTTAAATCTGCTATTGCTTCTTGATATCTATTTATTTTTGTATAACTTATCCCTCGCGAACTTAGTGCTAGCTCATCGTTCGGATTTATAACTAATGAGTTGTTATAATTTATTATTGCATTATCATATTCTTTAATCTTTTTATAGACGTCTCCTCGAATTCTGAATGCATCACTATTATTTTTGTCAATTTCTAATAATTTTGAGAGGTCTTTTATTGCTTCTTGGTACCTACCTATAATACAATAGGTTTTTCCACGTTCACATAATGCAAATATATTCTTTGGTTCAATTGTTAACAAATTAGTCAGGTCTATTAATGCATTTTCATGCTCTCCTATAATGCCATAAATTTTTCCACGTTCATATAACGCAGATACATTTTGGGGTTCATTTTCTAATATAGAGTTCAGACGCACGAGTGATTTTCTATCCATATTTTTCTCGATTTACATGTTAGGTACAAAATACTAGTTTTACGTACGCGCTTCACTGCGTGAGCAATTTTGAAGCATAACTAAAGAGCAACGTTATTTGACTTTTATACTTTGTGTTGATTGTTCTTGACCAATATTACTTTCCTTATTTGGGGATTTACATTAACCAATCAACCCGTAAATTTTTTTTAAAAAAGTGAAAAAGCTAAGTATCATTTCATTGTACGTACGTACGTATTTTCTGCTGAAAAGGTGCTAAACAATTTTCTTTTTTTGTCAATTTCAATACAAAATAAGACACTGATTAGAAATGCCAAGCCTGTAGTTATCATAACGGAGCGTATCATCTAGAATGTTGTGTACAAAGTTTTGCATTTGATTGGATAGTGTTGTCATAGTGATCAGGCAGAATAAACAAGCGGATTATCCGGAAATTTATGTTTTTTTTAGGAATTTACTAATAAAGTCATATCCGCCTATTACTGTATTAAGTGAAAATTGGTCTTGGGCCAATTTTACCATAATGCGGGCTTATTTTTTAAAATTTTCTATTTTTGTAACGAAAAAATTAAAAATTTAAAAATTTATAAATTTACACCCGTGTATGAAACACGGGTATAATTTATAAAAAAATTTGATACAAAATTTAAGGGTAGAGGATACGTAGATCATTTTTCATATGATATGCATGGCAAATCAAGACCTTATATAGATAGTAAAAATTTGCTACTAATAAAAATTTTTAAGAATCTAATTAATTTTCGCCAAATTTTTGTGAAACTTAGATTGTATCTTTTATTTTTAGTAGTAAAATTTTTAAAAGCTATATTATTTTAAAAAATATACTCCTTATATAGCTAAATTTGCCGGGGTTACACAAAAAAATAGTAAAAATATTTCTAAAACAGGTAATTACCCAATTAGGGTTGTGTTTACTATGTCATCTGTTATATAAAAAAGATTTACCATACATATCATATGATAAATGATCTATGTATTCTCTACCTTTAAAAAAATTAAATCAAATTAAGGTTAAAATAGGTTAGGTTAGGTCAGAGGTTAGGTTAGAGATAGTTTACACTAAAATTTTATATAGATATTTTTTTGTTAAACTCGAAAAGTGGTTTCATAGACAAAATTTTGAGTTATTAATAATACCCATGTTTTATACATGGGTGTACAAATAGAAATTGCCAAAAAGTTAATTCTGTGGGCCAAAATTTTGAAAATTCTTGGCCATTATTAAAATTAAAGATTTGCTATGATAATTTTGTTGTGATAGCTATGGTTAATTAGCTGCTCGATATGAAAGTATTGGAGCAGCTTTTTGTCTTGAATTGATCACGAATGTATAATAGTTGATTGTTGATACATTATTGAGATTTATCATATAACTTGAGTTAGTTGTTGCATTATTGTGATTTATTGTATAATTTCGTTTGATGCATTGTTGTGATTTATCGTATAATTCGTATTTGACTTTATGATATATTGACATACAGTCAACCCTCTATATAGTCACCTCCTATATAATCACATCATATGTAATCACATTTTTATTTAGGCCAAACTACAATTTAATTTATAAGAAAAAACCTCTATATAAGCACAATCCCTTTATAAGCACATTTTTTAAAAAATTTACTATGTGCCCAACTGTGTAATTGTATAGAAGGATGACTGTAGTATTTGTGATTAGTAAGTATTGGTAGTATTTAGAGAGAATAGAATTTTTTTCTAAAAAGAGTATCTTCTGTTTTTTCTGCTAATCCAACTTTGTCTGGTTTTTTCGTGCTATACCTGATTTTACCTAATTTTTTATCTGATTTTTTACCTTTGTGCTTGTTTTACCTTTTTGCTTTTATCTGTTTACTTTAAAATAAACGTTGTCATTAATACGCTAGCGAAGCGTATTAGTGTTTTTCTTTTAAATAAACATTATTCTTTTGCAGAATCAAGTATATTTTATTGTTTTTCTTATATCAATATCAAATAAAAAGTTGGACCCAGTGGGGTCAAGTGATGTCTCAGCCCAACTCAATACAACGCAAGCAAGCCTAGAGACAAATTTGAAGCATCTTTTGCTAGAGGCATTGAGAGTTGTCTGTAGAGGGATAGGTGTTTCGGACTTGGGCCCGAAGAAGAAAGTTGTAGCTAGGCTGGCGAGGAAAAGTAGAGCTCGGTTGGGTCCAGAAATATTAGTGAGTGACCCCGAACCTTCAGAAAAGGAAAAGAGTGAGCAGCCACAGCCTGCTTTGAATCGAGCTGAAGGTTTTCTAGAGGAGTTTGATGCTTTTTAAGAAGCTTGGGATGGACCACAACTGTTGAGAGCTACAGTTAATAATTCTTGTAATGTCTATATAAAGCAACCGTTGTTGGGGCCAGAGTTGATGTAAAATGGTCCTTGGATTAAAAGAGCTCCAAGTTGGAGTGCTGATTTGGATGCTTTAGTGTTAAATGATGTGGAGCATAAGAGCTTTTGGAAGAAACGAAAGTTGTCAAAATAGCACAACCAATAGGAGTACAATGAGTTGTGCAAGATAGGAACTCTGCTAGACAAGGCATTGGTTTCGGGAAGATGTAAGCTTTGTTCGTTTGGTAAGACAAGTCATTCTGGAGAGAGCTTATGTTTTAAGGGTGGCTGATAAGGATGGTTGGGGTGTTGCTTCGAAGATAGTATTTCGGATCTAATGTCTGAGTTATTGGGAGAGAAATGTGAGAAAGCTAGATTAGCAGCACAGCATTTTACAAAGCCCAAAAAGCCGAGGTCTTCGTATTAGCCTCAAGTAGAGCAATCTCAGATGCAAGCCTCTTTTTTCATATTAATAGTGTTCCCTTGGCACAGTTTGCACTAGTACAGCCTTATTTACAGCAAACGAGATTCCAACATCAAGTTTTGAACAAGCCAACAATCCCACAGACACAGTTTGAAGACCTTATGACTTTTTCTGCTCAATCGACCCAAACTGGCCTCTATATTTTGCAAGGTAGAGGACATCACCCATAGCAATTTAGTCCGAATGTTGGTGGTGTAGCTCCTCTAGCATGGCAACAATTATATTTCTCTTCATCTTTTTGGCCCAAGAAAGATGATAAATATAAAGGATCCAAGGGTAAGGAGGTGGTTTGTTACTTATGCAAAGGAAAGGGTCATTTTCAGATAAAAGTGAATTCTTAGTTTTTTGCTTAAAAGTGAGGGGGGTAGCTTATTTTAGGAGATAGCTTATTTTGGGGAAAATATGGTACAATGTGTTACCCTTTGGCCTAAGTCAGGCTCCTTAGGTATTTTCAACAATAATAAGGCCTCTAATTGGCAAGTAGTGTGCCCAAGGAGTATATTATAGCAACTATCTGGATGATATATAGGTTGCACACCTGTTAAAAAAAGTGTTGCTAGAGATAAAGGAAAAGGTGATAGAGGTAGATCTATTAGAGTGCGGCTGAATCTGAGCCAAAGAAAAGGGGTGTTGGGACCCAACCCAATCTATAAAGTTTTGCGAAATGATAGTGTATACTTTGGACATTGTGGTGGTGGCCCTGGAGAAGAAAGTAAACTCAACGATTTGTATATTGGAGGCTCTTTTGAGGGTACCTACCATTTTAGCAAGAAGATAGTGAGTTTGGAAAGGGCCTTTTTCCCGAGCCAGATAAGTGTATAGAGTTTTACAAGTTGATAGATTCAAGAAATCGACTACTTTGGTAATGGGATACTAATGTTCAGTTAATACTGCAGGCAATCAAGGATATTCGATGGTTGTTGATAAACCTAAGGAAATGAAATAGCTGGCCAGCCTGAAAACCTTGTCTTGTAAGGTTGGTGTATGTCGACACTTCAACAAAGGGTTGGTGTGGTGTTTTTTAAGAGCACAGAGTGGCAGGGAGTTGGTCTTGGCCCCACAGCATAATAGTACAGTTGGAGTCTTTGGCTGTACTTTGGGTTCTTTAGTCTTTTAAGGACCTGTTAGGTAACTCTGTTTATTGACAACAGAGTGGCTTTAAGAACAGTGGTGAGTGGAGGCTCAACAAATTGGCAAAAGAATATTACTAAAGAGATTTGAGAGGTGCGTTTCAAGGCCGATATTGGAATTTTTAGCACGAGATGAGTCCCAAGTACTTTAAACCTGGCAAATACATTGATGAGAGTATTAGACCAAGGAGATTGGATGTTGAGTTCAGAGGTTGTGGCACAGTTGGAGCAGGTTTGGGGCAATTTGAGGTGGACAGGTTTGCAAGTCACCTAAACACGAAGGCCCAAAGATTCAACAGTTTTTATTTCTGTCCAGGGATGGAGGCAGTGGATTGCTTCACCCAGGACTGGGCCAGGGTAAGAAATTATATGTGCCTTTCTTTTTGTCTGATTCACAGGGCTCTTTGTCATGCAAAGGAATGTGAGGTATGAATACTAATCGTAGTTCCGGTATGGGTCTCAGCCCCATGGTGGCCTTTTGTGGTGAATTCTCTAAAGGAGGAAATCGAGCTTCCGCCAGCAAACAAATTATTTGGCCAGGGTCTTCAGGAAATCTGGAGCCATGTAAAAACAGCAAATGGTCACTAAGGGTGATACAGTTGGATTGGTTGAAAAGCTCTTGAATAGGGCAGAGCATTTGATAAATAATTATATTAGCAAGGAATATAAAAGGTGCTTGTTGAAAGCATAAAGAGTATTTTATAGTTTTGCACATTGGGTTGGTTTGGCCCTATACCCGGCTTCAAGTGAACATTTGGTGGCTTTTCTTGCTTGGATGAAGCTATCGGATAAGTCAACAGAGATACAAGCTTGCTTGGCCGCGATAGCTAAAGAGCACAAGGTAAGGGTTTTGAGGACCTTACAAAGAGTAGTTTGGTCTGTTTGGTTGTGAAAGGAATTAAAAGATTGGTAACCCGAAGAAAAACCCTCTTCTGGTTACAGTGGTTGAGAGATATATTAATTGCCTCCGCCTGGTGTTAGTAGGGTTTTGTAAACATGAAATTTGGCTTTGGTATTCCTAGAGTTAAAAGTTATACATAGACTAGATAAGTTATATAATCTAAGAAGGTCTGACATTATTAAAAGGGATGGAAAGTTGTGGGTTAGGGTGGTGAAGTCAAAGATAGACTAGTTGGAAAGGGGCAAGTTTATCCTAGTAAAAAGATTTGTAGTCCAGTGAAATTGTTGAGTTATTACTTGAAGTTAAGGCCGGCTACATTATCAAAAAACCCTATTCTTAGCTAAGAATGAGAAGAAGTTATCTGTAGCGGCAATTTCGTTGATAGTTAAGCAGTTGCAGATTATGCTGGGCTGCAAGGAAGGTTCATAGCACACAGTTTGAGAATTGGTGGTGTGACTATAGCTATGAAGGGAGAAATGATAATGGAACAAATCCAGTTAATTGGCGATTGGTCTTTGGGTGCAGTTCAGGTTTACTTGAGAGCAATTAGTACCACTAAATTGGGAGCCTCTAGACTAATAAGCTTTGTATAGACTCTAAGAAAGGTAGCAGTTGTCTAAAACCTTGCCTTTTTATGTCGATACTCTGCAAGACCCAGAGTTGTTTTCCATTTTTCTTCTTTTGTTTTTTGTTTGTCTTTATATTGTTTTATCTTGTAACACCTCTTCTCGATGAGAAACAAAATTAGCTGCCCGATACAAAAATATTGGAGCAGCTTTTTGTCTCGAATCAATCATGGGTGTATAATAGTTGATTGTTAATATATTATTGAGATTTATCATGTGACTTGAATCAGTTGTTGCATCATTGTGATTTATTGTATGATTTCGTTTGATATATTGTTGTGATTTATCATATGATTCGTATTTGACTTTATAATATATTGACATAGTATTTACGATTAGTAAGCATTGGTAATATTTAGAGAGAATAAGATTTTTTCCCAGGAAGAGTATCTTCTGTTTTTTCTGCTAACTCGACTTTGTCTGGTTTTTTTGCCCACCCGGCCCAGCCCTTGTCGCAATTGTACAGCAACTTGGAGTTGATCAAAAGCTCTTTGGGATAAGTACTTTATTTTGTTTAGCCAGGTTTTGGTTTAGCTTATGGCCTGAGTCGTTTTGAGTTTATATAAACTCAAAACGACTTAGATTAGACTATAATAGCCTCAGGTATGATGAGCATTTTGCATTTGCGTCGTCATTTGAGTGACGATCAATTCACGCTTGTGTCGTCAGAGATATATTAGTATTTGCTCTATCATTCAAGTGACGAACAATTCACGCTTGCGTTGTCAGTGTTGTGATGCCAGAAATGCCTCACCGTCGTCAGAGATATATTAGTATTCACTCTATCATTCGAGTGACGAATGATTCACGCTTGCATCGTCATTCGAGTGA